AAACATCGTGCAACGACGGTACATGGTCTAGGTGCAGCCAGTTTTTCTGGCGAGATACCTGATTCTCGACCGACAACAATGTTGACGGCTGTTAAGCTTAGTACCCACTTCAATCATTATTCCATCAACACATATATCATCCTTAAACACTCCTTTGACTACATCTCTAACAGAACAAACTACAACTGATTTACGTAGAGCAGTATTGAAGAATTTGGTAAAAAGCCCGAAAACTTTTAGTGGAGGAAATAACGACGTGAAGAAATGGCTAGAAGAATTACAAAATACATTCGATATAGCACATATTTCTAATGATAATAAATTAAATATTATTTCGTATCAATTGAAAGGTGAAGCTTTTATATGGTATAACGAAAATAAGAAGCATTTCACTTCATGGGATATTTTTGTAGAATTGCTTCAAAAGGCTTTCACTTCGTTCTTCTCCGCTGATATTGCGTTCAGTAAACTAGAAACATATAGACAAACACATAATCAATCAGTGAAAAATTATTATACAGAGATGATGAAATTATCTGAAAAAGCGGATCAGACTATGAGTGATACAACGAATTGAAATATTTATTATCAAAAATACAACAATTTCCACAACAATTTTCGAGAGGACAATCGAGCATCCCCGCACAGTTTCGTCCAAATCAACAACGTCCATCATTTAATAACTATACTAATCCATATCGACAACGCAATAATAATTCTTTTCGTAATAATTATCAACAGCAACATACCGCTAATGCAACAGATAATCCGATCACATTTAATGATAATAATTACGAACAACCATTACCTTCATCTACTAGTTGCGATAAATGTGGTTAAGTTGGACAAAAAACGGACTTACATAAAAAAAGGACTTTGCATTGAATATTTAATGTGTTACCCGCCACACCAATATTGTCAACATCACTCGTGCTCTTCTAAAGGTACTTTACTTGATGAGATCAGTTTTTCTAACGCGTCACCAGTTCCGCGTAGTACCGGACAAAAGGATATCTCAATGCAAGACAATCATATACATAACACCCTTCAACCACCCATCATTTGTAATACAATACAATCTATCCATCCGAAAGTTGAACAAGATTTTCAGCAGTTAGTTAGTAAAACAGAAGATAAAAAACGACATGATGGCCTACTATCACTTCTACATCGTTTTCATATTATTTTTGACACCACGAAACATAATATTGCAAACACACCAATAAATCACGTTATTAACACACTTCCACATTCACCACCTGCACAACGATCATACCCTCAACCAAATATAGAAGAACCCATGTATAAAATTTGCCAGGAATTCTTAAAAGCTGGCCTGATAAGCGAATCCTGTTCTCCATACGCAGCACCGGCGTTATTCGTGAAAAAATCTGATGGAAAGAATCGTCTTGTCAGTGATTATAAAAAGTTAAATTTGGTTCCAAGAAAAGATTTGTCTCCCCTCCCTAACATGGAAGATACAATACAAAAGCTATGACGTGGATATAAATATTTTTTTAAACTGGATTTGAAATGCGGCTTCTATCAAATTCCCATAAAAGAAGAGGACAAAGAAAAAACGGCATTCATCACCAGCTTCGGCCACTATCAATTTAATGTAAGTTACTACCAATGAGGCTACGCAATTCTCCACCGACCTTCCAAAAAATGATGACCAACACTTTGAAATCGTGTCGTGATTTCTCACTCGTATATCCCGACGACATCATCGTGTAGTCCAGCTCATATGAACAACATCTCAATCATCTTGAAAAGGTCTTCACAGGTTTACGAAATAAAAACTTAACACTAAATCTACCCAAATGTGAATTAGCAGTAGAAAAAATTAATTATCTTGGCCGTACTATAACGTATAATAAAGTAACGCCTGTAGAAGATAAAATAATAAGTATAATAAGTATATTACAAATGAAAGAACCAAAAACATTAACTCAAGCTAACAAGTTCATAGGAGCCCTCAGCTGGTACCGCAAGTTCATTCCCAAATTTGCCACTCCAGCAGCACCTATTCATGCTGTAACTAATTTAACGAAATCGCATCGAAGAAATTTTAAATGGAAAGCGCCACAAACAAAAGCATTCAATGATTTAAAACAATTATTAATATCCCAACACTTGTTTCTCAATTTCCCAGTTGAAAACAAACCTATGGTGTTAACTACTGGTGCCAGCGGAATAGGAATTGGAGGAGTACTTCAACAGGAGATCAATGGGCAACGACAAAATCTTTACTATCATTCTCAATTAATGACTCCTTGCGAAAGACGTTACAGTACAATTGAGAAAGAGGCATTGGCAATTTATAAATGTATAACAAGAATGAGACTTTTCTGCTAGGTCGAAGTATTGTAATAATGACAGATCATTGCCCTCTTAATGAAAAAGTACCTTAATGAAAAAGAACGAATTTTAATAATAATTTAAGAATTAAGTAATAATTTAAGAATAATAATTTAAGAGTTGATCGAATAGCTACCCTGATCCAAGAATATAATATTGAACAAGTGATACATATAAAAGGTAGAGAAAATTGTCTACCAGATTACTTATCCAGATATCCAAGACAGATCGATGATGAATTATTCAACATTGATTATGGAATTGGAAGTAAGGACCTCCCACGTCCGACGACTTCTTCGTCTGTAGGAGATCCTCGGTCCTCTTCCTTACCCACCAACAACACCAATATCGTTACTGTAATGAAGCTAAGACCTCGAAACATCATACAAGACAACATAAAAGCAATAACTTCTACTGATAATACACAGGATGATACTGTCTCTGAATCTGAAAACAATTCCAAAACTATTACATGTATCCCAGGTAATTTTTCTTCAAATTATTTTGACGTCATGATGCTCCGAGAGCAACAAGATAAAGATCCCGACATTCAAAAGATAATACAAGAACTTCATAAAAATCCTAAATCGTCTTCCTTTGTTCTTAGAGATAATATTCTGTATAAACTTGTGATACCTTAACGTAATTCTAAAACTAAAATCCATGTTATTTATTTACCGAACTTAATGATAAAACCACTATTATATGCTACTCATAACGATCCAATGAGAGACGGACATTTCTCAACAGATAGAATATACAATAAAATCAAACACAAATATTGGTGGCCAAACATGAAAGACAATATCAAAATGCACATAAAATCTTGTTCATTATATCAGCAATATAACGTGAGTCATCATAAAAAGCATGGCCAACTTAAATCCATCCCACCACCTGATGATCCATTTATGCTCGTTGGAATCGACTTTTGCGGTCCCTTTAAAAGGACTCCTCGTGAAAATCTGTACGTGCTCGTCATAACAGACTACTTCACCCGTCACATTACCACACTTGCTCTACCCATCCGATTTATATTGTATTAGATGAAGAAACAAATATTGAATCACGGATACATGTTGGAGATCTTAAACCTATGAACTTATCAACAATTCAATAAAACTGATAAGTGATCATTGTCATTAACCCTAAATTATTAATTATCACCGCTAAGTGAAATTGCTAAGTATGATTCATTCGCATTATGTTTCATATTTTCTCTATTTTCGGCTAAGTTTTCAGTCAAGGACATAATACTAATTACCATTGATTCCTCTGGCCCGCGTGATTTAAAGCTCGACGACTCGACGGTCTTACATTTTTATTATGGAACTGATCTAATACTTTCTGATCAACTGTATTAAATTAGTGGATAGAGAAGACTTCAGTAAATGCCGAGATTAAAAAAGAGACCATGCTATCCAGAGAATGACTTACAATTATCTGGCAACTGATCATGACAGAATGCTAGAACTTTAGTTTAATCATACGTTTATTTATTTTATTTATTTAGTAGTTTTCATAAAAAGATGCATCAAGATAACAATCCTAATCCTAACGAACAACAGTCGCCCCAACATCATACGTCTACATCATCACAATATCGTCTTCTATATCATCAAATTCATATTCGTCTAATTCAAATCGTTGTACCCAACATCAATCACGTAGTTATGATTCGTCAAATATGGAAGTAAGTCGATCTCTGTCGAACCGTTCGACCTTGATGTTAGCGCAAGCTGGCAACAGTTCGACTGATGATTTGACGATACAGAAGACGATATTGTGATGATGTAGACGTATGATGTTGGGGCGACTGTTGTTCGTTAGGATTAGGATTGTTATCTTGATGCATCTTTATATGAAAACTACTACATAAATAAAATAAATAAACGTATGATTAAACTAAAGTTCTAGCATTCTGTCATGATCAGTTGCCAGATAATTGTAAGTCATTCTCTGGATAGCATGGTCTCTTTTTTAATCTCGACATTTACTGAAGTCTTCTCTATCCACTAATTTAATACAGTTGATCAGAAAGTATTAGATCAGTTCCGAGTATTAGATCGTAGCGCACAAAAACCAACAAAACTGTAAGACCTGCAACATAAGACGCCTCTGTCGCATTTTCACTTTAAAGATTGTTAGTTATGGACGACAGAAAAGTTTAAAAAAGGAGTTCCGTATATACATAAAAGAAAGAACAAACATTTCACGACGATGATTGTATTTAGTTTAAACTTTATTTTCCTTGAATAACAAGCAAAAGCAAAAACAGTACGAAAAAAGTAACATGAATCATAGCTACAAGTAAAAAGCCATTATTTCAATTACACATCAGAACATAGTTTCATACAAATCTTATATATTCATTTTTCTGAAGAATATTTAGAAACACAAACATTAGAGTCAATTTTCTTCAGAAAAATGAATGAAACTAATCTGAGTCATGAACAACAGTTCAAAACAATTTTATTTTTTTGACGCTACATATTCTTTTTCTATTCTAAAATATCGTCTATTAGAATTAATTAAAGTTTGTATTTCAGAAACATACTATAACTAAGCCCATCAGCTTTGAGATGGCGGGGAAAAATTCGGTAAAAAGTATTTACCGGACCTTCGATAAAAGAATTAGCACCGCTACCGCGGTAAATTTAGTACGCTAAAGAATATTTTACCGTTACCGCGGTAAAAAGGCTTTTACCGTTACCGACGGTAAATTACCGAGTAGCGCACATCCTTAGTGTAAACTTGGTAGAAAAGCAACGGACGATAACAAAACAGTTGGACAAATTTGTTTTATTGGTTTCTCCATCTGATTTACAAATTTCCACACATATTATATACTAGATTGTAGACCCTTTTGCAGCTCTTTCATTCCGTATATAAATGTTAGGCACTCATCATTTGCTGACTACTATCCGTTCCAAAATACGATGTCGTCGGTTACTTTTTGAATAACTTTTGATAGAAGCTAGACAAAGACCTGCGATTTTCAGTTTTGAAAACTAGACACTTGATTAACACCTGCCAAATTACGTCGTCATTTTGAAGTAAATCACTCGGAATATAAAGACAAATCAATTGCTTATTTTAAACGAAAACTTGAAGAACAGTACAAAGTTAAGCTTTACATGACAAAAAAATTTAAAATCGACAACGAAAATGCGACAGAGGTGTCTTACAGAGTGAGCTATCGCATAACACTTGCCGGAGAAGCACACACAACTGGCGAAACAGTGATAAAACCATGTGCAAAAGATATTGTTCGTGTGTGTTAAGTGAGGAGTCATGTAAAAAAGTTGAAGCTGCGTCACTTTCAAACAACACTGTTTCGCGTCGTATTCGTGATCTCGCTGATGATATCGAGACAGAACTTATTTCTCGGCTACACCTGTGTGATTCATACTCACTGCAATTAGACGAATCGACTGATGTTGCAGGTCATGCAATTTTGTTGATTTTTGTGCGCTACGATTTCGGTAAATGTATTGAAGAAGATTTGCTTCTGTGCGAAAGTTTACAAAGTTTACAGGTGAGAATATATTTGACTATCGATAATTTTGTTGAAAAAACATGGCATAAGTTGGGAAAAATGCATTGATGTGTGCAGTGATGGCGCCAAGGTAATGGTAGGAAAAGTGGCAGGAGCTGTAACACGCATAAAGAATGTAGCAAAGAACTGCACGAATAGTCACTGTGTTCTTCACAGACATGCATTGGTAGCGAAAAAAATGTCAGCCTCATTTAAAACTGTGAGAAGCACCGAAGATTATCAGTTTTGTTAAAAGTCGCCCATTACAATCACGATTATTCAAAATTTTATGTGAAGATATGAGTAGCACTTACACAACCCTGCTTTTGCATAAGGAAGTGCGATGACTGTCGCGAGGTAAAATCCTCGTTAGATTGTTCGAATTACGGCAAGAGCTATTGGCATATTTTTTGGATCACAAAGGCCGGGGGACGATAAGACCGCAAATCGGCCCACTACCAAATCCATTATGCAGTAACTCATCTAATGCAGTTTTTCTTGCCCATTAAACCTATCATATTTTTAGACAATCAAAATCCTTTCCAACGCCCC